ATCAAATGAAAAATCAATCATTCAACAAAATATTTCACAAAGATAAGCAGTGGTATTATCACGTTTCCAAGCGGAACATCAAGAAAAACAAAAGAAAAATGAATTAGCCCTGATGACGAAATAAGATGTGGACTAATAGAAGATCATATCCACACACAATTTAGATCACGGTCTATCTGACTACATCATCGGTGTCGATAGAACTTGCTCATCCAAAATTCGCCCCTCAAAAAAGAGCCGGTATGGGGTTTGTATGCTGATGTACACGATGGTTAGTGCACTCTGAAAAAATAATTCAAGTTTTGCAGAACCTTGCTATGGATTCTGCTATCAGGTACCACGCAGAATCCCCGAAATGGTTCTGATTGAAATCAGATTTTATGAAGAAAGCACGAAGCCATTTCTGAGCTTTCGTGACAGGTGGTTTTCCTCTGCGTGAAAAGTGGGAGGTTCTTTAAATAATTTATCATTATAGCTTTCTCAGTGATAACATAAGGTTCTGGACTTGAAAATGAGTTCAATGTTTCGGTATCGCCCTCTGTATCTTTAATCCTTATGATTATTCTCTTTTATCTAGTCTTATGCCTACAAAATTTTACCCAGGTCCTCATACCTATGCTACTATATCTATTGCTTCATATTTACACCCTTGTGACTGTACTCTTGTATGTACACCCTTATGCCTACCGCCTTATGACTATACGTGTATACATTTACTCATATATCTGTGCCATTATATATTTACACGCACAACTACATGTATGCGGCGCCTCTAGGAATCTCGACCCCTCAAAAATCGATCTTGCGCTAGAAGCATTCAATTTGTATGAAACTTTCAGAATATATTGGGACTGGTGTGAAGAGTCTATGGTAAAAATTTTAGCACTATATCATGAAGTTTTCGTGCGACATTCAACAAACAAGGGTCAAAAGTAGCTCATTTGGTAACTCAAATTTCTCTGTGAACCTTCATTCTATAGACTTAAACTTTTTTGTTTGAAAACGCATGCCAAGATGTAAGGCATGACAGTCCTTTTTTCAAATTCTTAATCTTTAAGAGGAAAAAAGAGATGAAAAGCTCAACATCGAAAAAATCTCACAAAAAATGGTGGTCTAATTATAAAAGTACTCTTTTACATAATAGTAGAAGAGCTTAAATCGAAAAAGGGACTTTTTCATGCTCTGCGTCTTGAAATGCTCTTTCAGAGAAAAAAGCTATTGGCTATAATACGAGAAAAAACGAAAAAGGTTTTCGTTTTCTCCCGTAAGCAGCTTATTTTTTCAATAGAGGATGACGAAAATCTTAACAAATTTTTGAAAAAGAAGAAATGTCGAGTAAATATTTTTTGTCATTTATGCAAGATCAAATTACGACCTATCTCTTTCTTTATTTATCTTAATTTCGATCATTCTGACGAAAAGTGACTTTTTTAGGGGGGGGGGGGGATTAAGATATTATCCAAGCATCGTTTTTCAGTCTTCGTATGGTTCGGATAGTCTTAAACGGCAATTTCNGCGGTAGGCATAAGGGTGTACATACAAGAGTACAGTCACAAGGGTGTAAATATGAAGCAATAGATATAGTAGCATAGGTATGAGGACCTGGGTAAAATTTTGTAGGCATCGTATTGTTGCGATAGTCTTAAACGGCAATTTCTTTTACGACTGTTGCTTAGAGGGTCGTAATACATCGTAGAAAAATCGTTTATTGTTATTGTAAGCAGTCCTTATAAGTGATTGCCGTTTTTTGATCAGAATACAGTGGTGTGTCACCATAGACGATTGACGTTCGCAAGAATATATTTATTTTTCTGTTGTTAAAAAAACGGAATAGAAGCTGCTCTGTTTCTGTGCTAATAATGACACATTGTAGACGAAGAAAGATTATGAAATACGATACATAAATGACAGAATTAATGTGTTTTTACAGTTGTTTACCATATTTATTACAAATAAGCTAACGAAGGAACACACAGAACTGATAAATCACTTTTGGAATCGGAACTATGTGCAGCATGTAGGTCCTAGTGAGTTATGAATATCCTGAAAAGAATTCTGGCCCTTAGCTATTGATCACGAGATACTGCATTTTTACGGTATTTTTTAGCACAAAAGCCTTACTCTTCCTCAGGAACACCAGAAAAACTGACACACGAATTTCGATTTGAAAATTTTAACAGAGACAGGCTTCGATGAAAATAGTTTATTGTGTAAATATCAGATCTTTTGATTGTTCGTAGTCTGAAATAAGAGCGCTGAAATCCGCTGACGTATATGAGCAATATAAAAGTATGCTTTACCATAGCTATATCTTAGGATAGGAACAATCAAAAGATCTGATACTTTCACAATAAACTATTCTCATTTGAAGCATGTCTCTGTGAAAAATTTTAAATCAAACTTCGTATATCAGTTTTTCTGGTGTTCCAGAGGGAGAGTAAGACTTTTGGGCTAAAATATACCGTAAAAGTGCAGTATCTCGGCAACAATAAGCTAAAGGACCGAATCCTTTCTTTTCAGGGTATTCCTAAATCACTAGGACCTACATGATGCACATAGTCCCGACTGATGAGCGGTTGTTTTTAGTCTTATTATAGAAGAAATAACAGCTGCATAATAAAAATTAAGTAATATTGTTGAAAAATAAAAGAAGATTCATTCCATCTTGTCACTCTAAACATACAAAAACTCTCGATCGTCGAGAGAAATCGTTCAATTATAGTAGAATAAAGTGTCTCTAACTAAAAGAAAGTTCCATTTTTCACTGAGACACCCTGAAGAGTTCAGCAGAACTGGAAGAACCTTTTCTCACTCAATATCTTTGGATAGAGGACTTTTTATAGTTCAATATTTTTTGACAGAACTTTACAAGGCTCAGTGTTATTGTGCGGAACTTCTTCAATTCAGCATTCTGACACACAGAACTTTTTATGATTTAGTATTATTCGGCAGAATCTTTTATGCTTCAGCATTATTGCACAGAATCTTTTATAGTTCACCGTTCTAGGGCAGGATCCTTCATGTTTCAGTACTTTCATACAGAACTTAAAAAGATTTCTCAGGAGTTGTAGAGCCATAAACAAGTTTTGCAGATCTCCGTTATTTTTTTCAGATCAAGCAACATCCACACTGGCAGATACACCCAAGAATGAAGCTGAAGACGATAAAGACAACCATACTTATGTCAGAAGGCATTCCTTCTGAGATAACACTATCAAAATAATTACATAATTAAATGAACACTAATAGATACAGAAATACAGGGTAAGATTCCATTTGTTCGAAGAATTGCACTACTTGCTTTTTCACACAGTTTTGGTAAATTATATACTATGTAAAATCGTGAAAAAAGCATCAGAATTTCGATAAATAATACTGCTTTCGAAAATAGACAATGAGACCTATCCAAGTACAAAAAATTTTCAAAAAATTGTTTGCTATGACGAAAATCGTGATTTTTGACCGGTTTTGCGCTTAAAATGACTATATTTTCTGCAAAAAAAAAACGATTTGAAACAGAAAAAGTTACTGTTGTCTAAACAACTCGATATGCTCTATAATCTGAACAGATACAAGCAGGCTTCGTAGTCGTCCTATATTTCCTATATTTCCTATATCTTTGGAAATTGTCCTATAATGTCCTATTTTTCAGGAATTTTCCTATATTTCCTATATATTTGAAAAAAGTCAAGATTCTTTTAACATGATATATAAAGGATGTTCCAAAAGTAAGTAACTAACCGAAAATAAATCGTATATCTTTACCATTTGATTTGACTTTATCAACAATTTTTTTTCAAATGATGAGTGAATACATCTCGTTTTTATCTACATGGACAAGTTTTAAAAGTATTGTTGAATGGTATCACCTATAAGTGAAATACAAAAAATTTACCTCTTTTCTATCTTCAGAAAAACATCACAAAACATTTCTTGTTTTTTAATTACTTGGAATTATTGAGTGAAGTGGAGCTTTAAAATTCTCCAATTCCTGATTAGTCTTCTCACGGAGTTTTAATTTAATATGTGTGCGCAAGAACGAATTGAATGGTATCGAGTCAACATTGAAGCAATTAAAACAGAAATCATTCATAAATTTTTGTGAAGATAGAAAATAGGTAAAATTTTTGTATTTCACTTAAAGGCGATACCTCTGAACAGCACTTTTAAAGCGTGTCCATATAATTAAAAACTAGGTGTATCCACCCATCATTTGAAAAAAAAATTGTTGATAAACTCAAATGAAATAGTAAAGATATACGAATTTATTTTCGGATCGTGACTTTTGGACATCCTGTATTTCAATTAAAAAAATATACATGCTTTGGTATATATTGCTATAACTTCTATACTAAAATGAATATCAACTAATGTCCGCGCCAGAATAAAAGAGGGGTGAGTGTAAGCTCAATAACTCGACAACCGCAATACCTAGCTACCTGCGGTTTTCACCAATCGAAAGAGGAGGAGCGGGCACGTCTTTTTCTTCGATAATGTATAAGACGAAATTCTTTTAAAACTAATGATATTTGAAAAACATGCAAAACAACTCATGAAAATGACCTGTCAGCTAGATGAAATTTTGTNGATGCTGAATAATATGCACGTCTTAAAATTCTGCTCAATACACTTTCATTTTTTTTTGCCAATTGTACAACAAAAATACGATTCGCTCATATATATATACAATTGATACAATTACATCTTGTTCGATTTGTTTTTCTTAATGTACTTTTTCTTTTTCTTGTTCTGTAATACAATTGTCAAGAAGTCTTTGTTTTTTGTTCTTTTTTTAAATTCTAATGATATTGAATTAATAGATAGTCAAAGAACAAAATGATTTTTTATTTGTTTAATTTTCATGCACATATTTTTGAATTTTATACGAGTGAGACATGAGATATGAAGAAGAAATAGTTAGTTATTATTTTATTTTCAAAAATCGAACAAAAAATATTCGTGTCAGATTGTTTATTTAAATTTTTCGTTTTCTTTAGACAATGAGTGCTAATAATAATGCTCAATCTTCTGGTGTCTATTTGAAAGCCAATAAACGTCGTAAACATTCATCATCATCATCAGCAGCAGCAGCAGCTGATAAAAATCAATCTAATGAAGAAACAAATAGTGATGTTGTACGAAATAAAGGTAATTCGAAGAGATTTGGATATGAAAATAAACAAATCAGTCTTTTAAGAATGTGTCTTTTCGATTTGATCTATCATTCAAAGCTATTGTTACCTAATTGTGTCTTGCATTTCAAACTTTGCCGAATTCTAATTTCAAAAGAGTTTTGATAATTCTTCTACTGATGAACATCGATTAAAGAGTAGATGAGAATCAGTTTTTATGAAGAAAAAAAATGAATTCTATTTGTCAAATTAATCTTAACACAGTGTGATCAAAGAAAAAACTGAAGTCAGATTAATTAAATCCGAAGAGAATTTCTTTGATTCAAGAATGATATGTGCGGAAGTGTAACAGATCACTATTTGAAATTATTGGTTTAGAATCAGATTTATATACATGAGAATCTGTTTCATGAGAACTCATGAATATTTTGATTTTGGTATTGAGCATTAGTGAGTGATAAATGAACAAAGATAACGTTTGAGGATGTGGATATGAATAAAGTGAACATTCACGCCTAACATATATCATATTGTAGAGTTGATCGTTTTACTTCGTTCAAATTTAAGTAATAATGTTTAAAGATCTCTACATATTGAATAATAATGTATATCATTGAATTACATCTCTTTCATGTAATCATAGGAGTAGTCTTTATTTCTATTACTTCTCTCTAATCACTAGTGTATTCATGAAGTACTGTTGGTCATTATTTTTTACGTTCAGAGAAAAGTCGGAAAGACAAAATTACTCTTCTCGATCTAAATCATTTCGTATGTTAGGTCATTTTATTTCTTCTATGTGTAAAACAACATTATCTATGTTGTCTCGTTCATATTCGAGATTTTTCTCTTTGAAAATACTTCTTTCAAGATTTTGTTTTTTCGAGGATTTTTCGTTTTTTTTCGAGATTTGGAATATATTCATTTATTTCATATTATTTCTTTTTAACACTTGATAAATTCTAAAGAATTTTTATGTTAATCTGGAGTATCCTTTTCTGTTCAATTAAATATGTTGAACTAATGTCCAACATTCTATCTAAAAGATCAGTTTGATCATTACTGTTATTGATATGAATAACACATAGTAAATTACTGGATTAGGATTGTTTCGATACTAAAGATGTGCAAGAAACTAAGCTTTTCCAATTCCAGTCTCGGTAAGATGTTTTTTCTTGGTCCCAATTCTGAGACAATATTTCTATCTTTCCTCCTGCATAACATGTTGCGAATGTTTTCATAATCGAGATTCTTTCTTTTTATTTATAGGTGTTAATTTTGTTTCAACAACAATGAATCAATCTACTGTACTCATGTATTTAAAAAAAGATGATAATTCTGTAACTAGTATGAAACAATTCTTTATGAAAGCTGACGATGAAAAACAATGGAAAAAACAAAGTAAGTACATTATTTATTTGAAAGAAAGAGAAAGAAAGAATAACCCAGTGAAAAATAATCATGAAAAAAAAACGGAAGTAAACACATGCAGCAAAACATGGAAAGTTATCTTTCTCATGAAGAACGCGTTCTATAGTTTGGCGAATGCGTTCATGAGCGACAAGAATAAGTTATGCATCTGAAAGTACGCATTCTTTGTCGTTCCACGTTTTTATGGGATGGTTTCTTCTCGGTTCAAAATCATTCTTCATCTGAAGAGAAAGCTTTCTGAACCCTTCATTTTTGGAACAATTAGGATCGGATTCCATCAAAATGAGAACGCTTTCTTTGACCTTCTCTCAAGAAATACTTGAGAATGGATTCTTCAAACCGATGAACGCGTTCCAGACAATCCAACACCATTCTTAGGGAGAAAAGAACGCGTTCTCTGTTGTTCTCCTAATTGTCGAATGCGCTTTCTCATGAATTCAAAAATCAGTTTTAAAAATACAGAACACCTTCTCGTCCGTTTTATAACCTACATGAAACTATCCCGTTATATTGAGAAAGAATATTGATTAGCTCCAAATGGATTCGTCAATGTACTCAAATATATTAAATTTTTTTTTCATTGTTTTCTGCATAAAAAATCATCATCATAACTCTTAGTTCTTTTATCAATATCTGTATTCAACGTTGAGCTTTTAGCTGTCGATATTGTGATAGTCTTATTGACAATATACTGACAAAAACAATAAAAATAGACACAAGCAATGAGCAACAATAAGAAGGATTCTAGAAGAATTCAGAGTCGTTCGGCAAACGAATATACAACAATTCTTCTCTTTGATGAACTTAACAAGTTTTTCCCACAATTTGTGTTGTATTGCCCATTTAGCTTTATTACATCTTAATATAAACAATCATTTCTTTTATCTAGTAAAGGAAGAATTAGTGTCCTTTCGATTATTTTCGATATTAATCAAAAAAATCATTTTTTTTTTAAATTCATTTAGTTTTATTCAATCTTAATAGAAATCATTTTTTTTTCATTCGATAGAGATAAATTAGTGTTTCTTTAGTTTTATTTGATCTTAATCATAAAAATCATTTTTTTCCTCTAGTATAGTTAGAGTTAGTTTTTCTTTCGTTATTTTCCATCTTAATAAAAATAATCATTTTTTATATGGTAAAGATTGAGTTAAGATTCCTCTAGTTTTATTGCATTTTAATCAGAAAAATCATTTTTTTCATCTAGTGGAGATATAGATAGTTTTCCTTTACTTTTCATTCCATCTTAATAAACACGATCATTTTCCTCATCTTGTAGAGATAGAGATAGTTTTCGTTTAATTTTATTTCATTCTAATGAAATAATCATTTTTTCTATGTACTAGAGTTAGAGTTAGTTTTTCTTATTTTTCACTCCATCTTATTAAAAACAATCATTTTTCCATCTAATAGAGTTAGAGAAAGTTTTCCTGTAGTTTTCATTCCACCTTAATAGAAGCAGTCAGTTTTGTTCCATAGAGTTTAGTTATAGACAGTGACCCATGATTTCAGATTAAGTAGATAGAGAAATATTTTCTCTGTTGAATTTGTTTTAGATAAGGATATGCTTCTTAGATAAGGTATATGGATTTTATTGGTAGATTGAGCAGCGTCCCAGTTTATCTTTTTTGAGAGTTTCTGTATGGGTATAGAAATTCAATAAATCCCTTCTCATATTCTTTCGTTGAAAAATGCGACCTAGATCAGCTTTTCCTATGAGAATCCCCGAGGAGTTCCAAATAATTGTTTTTTTTTCCCTAGCTTTTCAAGTGTTCCTTGGAGGTTTTGTCAATTATATGGAACTCCTCGGGAATTCTCATAGAAAAAGCTGATCTTGGAGCGCGTTTTTCATCATTTCAAACTGTAGTAGTCAAGAACACGTTCCGCGAATGTGAAAGCCTTTTTTTTAAGAAAAGAAAACACTACTTAAGGGTGAGAATGCGTTCTTGACCATTCCATTTTGAAACGTATTCCACTTTTTATGGTGAGCGTTTTTTTTTCTTAAAAAAGTTTTCTATGAAAGTGGAACGTGTTCTTTGCCGTTATTTTTTGATAAATGTTTTTCACTGGGAAGAAATATAAATAGTTTAATATCTTTGTTGTACACTAAATACTATTGATTGAATATGTCGATGTGTACGAAAACCGAGCGTCTCGTTTTAATATGCTACCCTAATGAAAATCTGGATTGTTTTTGTTAGAGATCTTGTTAAAAATCGCTATTTTTTTCTCTGAGGAGACGACAAACTTCTGATAGGAACATATGTCTAAGATTTGTTTAATACCTTAACGATTTTCATTTGATTTTTATCTGAGATCAGAAAAATCTTTGAATATCTCACGGTTTTCGATTGACTATTGAGAAATCAAAACGATATTCCCATTTTAACGATATTATCTTCATTCTAAGTAAAGAACTCTCGTATAGAAACTTATCTTTATTTTTTTTTATAGATCCAACATTAATGTCATTAGCTAATGAACTATTTGAATTGTTTCTTATTTTTTTATCATCTTGTGATATTGTGCAATCGTTAATTGGTATTAATGAAAGATTGAATTCACTTATTTATTCATTTATACATCAAATTGATGTATCAAAAAAACAAGATCAATGGTTAAATAAATACTTGTTGTCAGTTAAACCTTTGATAACAAAAATAAAATTTCATCACGCACAATTAGAAACATTGTTTCCAACAACAACAACAACAACAATTCAAGATCAATATCCTCGTCTTACGTCAATTATATGGATTTATGAAAGTAATCTTAATAGTAGTCTCGATGTTGCATATTTGAATGTCTTTAAAACAAAATTATTCTCATTATGTTTAAGTTTTAAATCTAATCCAGATAATAACAATATTTACAATAATGTTGCATTATTATTATTACAAGATGATTCATTGATACAATGTTTAACATTTAAAGATAATAATAATCATTCTTTCATATGGCTTTCATTTGAATCAAGTACGTTAAAATTGAATCAATATTTAAAAGAATTAAATATTAAATTACGTTATGCTCATCATTTGTTCATATTAATTAGAAATTTATTAAAATTAGAATTTTTAAATGTTGAAATTTGTGGAGCTATAAAAAATGATATATATAATTATAATAATATTGAAAATCCAACTGCAACATTATCGCCTGTGTTGAAACATTTGATTATCAATTCACATGGTTTAACATACTCTAATTTAATATTGTTGTTAAAACAATTTCAACAATCAATTCAATTATTAAAATTAGACATGTGCATTCAAGATCATGTCAATGGTGAAATTATTACATCAACAATTACATCAACAATGCCAAAATTAAAAGAACTTCAATTTGTTTTTCGATTTACTATGAATAAAAATGTCAACATTAATACTGGTAAGCAATAAAAAGAGATGTGACAGTTTATGATGGCTGGACATTACACAATCTGAACACTTTATGTTTCTGTTTTTGTATTAGACGATAAATCATACTTTTTGTCCCTGAGGTTTTCTCAAACATGTAAGATTTTTTTTGTCTGTATTTCATGCAAAACTTACATCAATTGAAGTTGAAGATAGTCTCATTAGATAGAAAACATCGAGTTACATAGCTCTCTAAAGTTTGAAAAGACTTTTTTTCTTATCATTCTAGGTTTAGATGAAATAATATCATCATTTTCTTCAACATCATATTGGCTAAATCATGCTGTTATGTGTTTTTATGAAGAATTACATAGTTATTTTGTTTTGCTTTCTTTACCTTGGTCAACAAAAGAAAATGATCCTATAACGAATGATATTATTAACTATCGTACCAATACAACAACATTACCATTAAAATTGATGAACATGTATTCAATTTATCTTAATTCAACAACGATCGATTTTAAATTTTTAAAATTTATTCAAGATACATTTATTCATTTTAAAAAAATTACTATTTGTTGGTACACGTGTTCATTGAATGATGATGTCATTGAACAAAAAACTCAAATTAATTTAAGTACAATTCAAACATTAAAATATTACGGTATTTCTTGTAATACAAATTATATTGAATTTTTATTGTTATTATCAAATGTTCGACGTCTTTTTGCTATTAGTTCTATAATTCAAGGCATTAATCGTTATATCTCGGAAAATGAAAAATTGTGTTCTGTATGTAAACAAATTACTTATTTACATATATACAAAAATTTGCACGATTACAATAATGATGAAATAAAAAAAACATTTCCGAATGCTTTTGTTAGTTTAAAAAATATTTAATGTACAGAAGATATTTCTGTTTTTTGCTGTTGCTTTTCTTGTTATTATAATAATTCTTATCATTATTCAAGATATCAATACATAGTAGAAAACCGATTAAAAAAGATTTCTACGAGTAAATAAAGAAATTGTTCATTACTTTGGCGTTGAATTTGCTTTACAGATCTTCATTTAACGACAGTATTTAAGATACTCTTAAAATACAATATTCAAAAATTCACATATTTAAGTTAGAATTAATATGAGAAGGAAGTGATTGTAAAACATTCTAACTTTGTTTACTTGCATCTTGTGCTGGTGCAAGATCAAATACCTAAATATTAGTAAAAAACAAAATAAAAATATTGGTTTATTGTATCTATAGGATAAGGACAAGAAATACTTACACGATGTTATCATCCACAAGTAATTAGATTAGGAGGATAGTTTTTATTGCAAAACGCACATTTAGGTCTAAATTATCTTGAAGATATTTTATGAATGTAAATTTAGAATTTTATCTTCTAATATAGTATTAATCATCATTTTTAGATTTTGTTGTATTGGATACATTCGAAACATCATTTCGTGTGTATATATATTATTTACTTTTTGTCAATCGTCTCAATAATGAAAATAAATTAAAAAGATTTATTTTTAGTTGATTAGCAACTAAAACTTGTTGACAACTTTCAACTCAAGTTTTTCAATCATCAATTCAATTTATAAATGAACCACTACAAGGTGTATGAGCTGATCTTAATTGTACTTTTTGATTAACTATTCAAGATAAACTTGAATATATTGAAACAATGTATTGACTATTCATTATTTTATGCTACTTCATTTCTTCATAGTAATGTACAAATATACACCCGTGGGCAAAAGTCTTTCTCCCCTTGCTCCTGCCCAGTATGTCATTGAAAAAAAGAAAAATTTAAATATCCTTCTCATATGTTGACCAAATGAAGTGATATTTTTACCAGCGATAGAGGGATGTTCATAGCTCATATTCATAAGAGAAACATTGTCAAAAAGTTTTTTGAAGTATCATACTTGACTTCAACAAAGCCCGCTAATCATTTACGATCTTACTTTTTTCATGACCCGGGTAAGCTTACTGGAATTTGTTGAAGTCAAATGTGATACTTCAAAAAAACTTTTTGACAATGTTTCTCTTATGAATATTAGCTATGAACATCCCTCTATCACTGATAAAAATATCACTTCATTTGGTCAACATATGAGAAGGATATTTAAATTTTTCTTTTTTTCAATGACATACTGGACAGGAAAAAAACGGGGGGGGGGGGGGGGGGGAGACTTTTTCCCATGTAGGGGTTAGTTAACGGTTTGATAACCAAAAAAA